ACACAAATATGTTATATGACAGTTTTTTTTTTTTAACCTACAGGATTAATAATTTGTGTTAGAGACATATACTCTAAATGTACAGTAATTTCACTACTATAAGGCGCACCCTTTTGAATAAAATTTTCCCCCAAACTTGGAAGTGCACCTTATAGTCCGGTGCGCCTTATATGATCTACAAAGTTGTGAAATTTGCTGACTTCTGGAGGTGCGCCTTATAGTCCGGTGCGCCTTAGGGTCGTGGAATTACAGTAATCTTAATTGAATAAAATACTATATATAATATTAGTAACATAATTATAATTATTAAAATATAATTATAATATAATTATACTAAAAATACTTTGATTTTTTTACTTATACCAGAGCACAGCAGTTAAAACTTCCTAGTAGTTTTGTAGAAGCAATTTTCTAGCTTTGATTTTGCACAGAAGAAGGAAAAAAGCGTATCTGTCCCACTGATAGAGAGTGAGAAACGTTGTGATTTCCTGTTTTATAACTTTATAAAGGAAAATGTTCTGAAAAAGAATCTCGTCTGAAACTGTCAGAATGGAGTGAAAGGTGGCAGTCCATTAACAAAGTGGCCAAGCAACATCACACATGAAAATACTCCTGTCCATGGGCAGGGAATTAAAGGAGAGCAGAAGTAATGCAAAAAGAATCAACTTGAGTCAGTGGATGTGAGAGACCTGTGGAAATTTTCCTCAGTGCCAGAATGCATACCAAAGAAAACAGGAAAAGAAACAATCTTCATTAGTGGTGTAGTTGTTTTTATTTGGATGAGGAGGCCACTTTGGAAATTAATCCTCTGAATGTTCTCACAGATTGCACTTGATTTGACTTGTGAGGTGAGCTTGGGTCAAGGCAGCTGAGTTGCTTTTGGATGAAACTAAACTGGGAGCTGTGGTCCTGCTGGTGTGGGACTGTGGGATCCCAGTAGATCTGTTCCAAACTAAAATTCCAAGAACATATCCCAGGTGACTTTCAGGTCTGCAGACCTTCCTGTCTCTCCCCACTCCTGTCCCTTGTGGATTAGGGCATAGTAGATGCTTTTGGGGGAGTTCAGAGATCATCACTGGAAAAGGCTGTGCCATTGTGAAAGGGGCTGTAGCTAAAAAGAGACAGGTTAACTACTGAAATTAGCTACTAGTTATGAAAGGTGTGGGCACAGAGTTTTTAGGAAGATTATAGTGCAGGAGGTGAAAATGGGTTTGCTGTAAGAAAATAGGAACTGCTTTGGCAAGTAATTCCTACAATGAAGCTTAGAAGCCATATAACAATGCAATTAGGTGGTACAAGCTGAAGGGTAATAGTCTTATTCTTAAATGCAGCTTTTATTATTATTTTTATTTTAATTTTCTCTGAATGTGTACTATATGAACAAGTTTTGAAAATGAAGAAGCAGTGGAAGTCTTCAAAAAGAAACAAACAAAAAAAACCTCACCTAAATTGAGAATAAGTGAAGCATTTATATGGATTGTTATTAATAAAAGGTGCAGGGAAATATACATCCTAAGGTGTTAAAGGAGTAGCTTAAAAACTGAGGAGGAGAATCCTTCCAAAGGAGTTAACTTGGAAACTCTTCTCAGTCTTTCAGTTGAAAGCCATCTGAAATGAATGTATGAGCATAAACTGAAAAAATGATTGTACTTCTAAGGATTAAATAATGTAGCAAAAGAAATCTTGACATATTCAATATTTGGTTTGTTTGTTTTAACCATTAGACTTTTCCTGTGTTTTAGTGGTTTGTGGTATTAAGTTCTGACAGAAGTAAGCAATCTTGACTGAACAATCTCTTACCATATTATTGCCAATAACAAGAGGAATAAAATTTCTAAGGAATGCATTTTTTCATAATTTCATATTTAATATGTTTTGGTTTCCTTGATAGATTTCAGCAGCAGTGTCGCCTGGAGATGCATAAGGCTGACATTTTAAGAATGGAAGGCATTATGCACCTTTATGCCCTAGTAAAATAGCATGTGTTTGTGTAGAGCCTCAGAGGCACTCTCTTTGTTGTCATTGTATCTGCAAACAGAATATCTATTAAAATACCTTTACAAAAACTTGTGTTTTGCTCCTAGTTGAGTGTAGTGACCTTTCCACGTGACACTGAACAGCTTGGGTTAACTGGTGTTCCCTGTTTTGGAGGGTGTTGGATGGGATGACCCTCAGAGACCCTTTCAAGCCCAAATTATTGTTAGTTTCTATTAAAAAAAAAAAAAAAAAGAAAAAGAAATTTTAAACAATTCCTAGAAGTGTGTTCTTGTTTTAAGATATCCTTGTATGCTCTTTTAGTAACCCATTTTCATTAACAGTAATTTCATGACCATAAGGCACACCAGACTATAAGGCACACCCCCCAGGAGTTGGCAAAATTCGGAGCTTTGTAGATCCATAAAAGGTGCACCGGATTATAGGGTGCACTTTTTGCTGTGAAGATCCGTGCCGCACGCAACAAAGTAACAAATTAGTAACGGAAACCCACAATTGTGGAGTTTACTGGCAGGTGCACAATTTGGAAACATTTTTCACACATCGGCATAGGCTTTCAAAAGCAGCCCCAGGCGCCCTCCCTGTGCAGTGGGCCCTGGCACTCCCACCTGCCCCTGGTGCCGGCTGGCATGGCTTGGTACAGCTGCGGGGCCGCCTCCCCCTTGCAGCTCTGTGCTGCGGCGGTGCTGTTCCCCCTCGCAGCTCCGTGGAGCCGCCGTGCCGTTCCCTCACTCAGCTCAGCGCTCCTGCCATGCCGCCTGTCCCTCACTTGGCTTGGCGCCGCTGCCATACCGCCCCATGCTCCTGCCATGCCGTTCCCCCTTGTGGCTCTGTTGTGCCGCCATGCTGTTCCCCCTCGCTCGGCTCGGCAGTGCCGCCGCCCTGCTGCCCGTCCCCTTGCTCGGCTCAGCGGCACTACCACCGCTTTCCTGCTGCCGCTGCTTTCCCGCGGCTGGTGGTGCTTTGCTCCCCCCGCAACCGGCGGCGCCCGGTGGCTCTTCGCTTCCTCTTCGGCTGGCGGCTCTTTGCTCCCCCTGTGGCTGGGCTGTGCCCGCTGCCATCCAACGGCTCCTTGTTCCCCCCGTGCCAGGGCCAGGGCTGGCAGCAGCTCCCTCCCTCCCCGCACAGCTCCTGCTGGCCATGGCTGCCCGCTCCTGCCCCCCCTCGCGACTCGACGCTCCCATGGCACCAGCCCCCCATTGCGGCTCACACTTCCNGGGGGGGCAAATGTCGCAACTTTGTACATCATATAAGGTGCACCGGACTATAAGGCGCGCTTCCTGGTTCGGGAGAAAATTTTAGTCAAAAGAACGTGCCTTACAGTCATGAAATTACTGTATGTTATTTTCACATCATTCTTAGATTGTGTTTTACTTAAATGCACAATTTAGGGAAGAGCAGAAATACATGGGAAGGGTTTGAGAGGTAAAGATATAAATGTAGCTTGGCACTTGTAAACTGTTTTCAGAAGTCTCAGAGTTCAACCAAGCACACTTTTCTCAGCCTCAGTGAAAATTTTCACAAGATTAGATACCCTTACTTCAAAGTCAGTGCCTATTTTGTGTGTTTTGTCTCCTTGTCCTTTCCTTGTCCTTAATTTTCTGGGTGCTTCGTAACAGGCAAAATTTTGTTTTTTTTTCTGGTGTCTTTTCATCTTTTCAAGTTTTGTTCATGTGTTATGCGTTTCATGTTTTCAATCCATTAATGCCTTTGCTTTAAATCCATAGGTGTTAATTTGTCTTTTTCCTGACTGCTTGGAAACTTGCAGGAAAACTGTTGAAACTGTGAAAAGATAGCTAAAAGGAAGGTGATTTGAATTACCTCTTCCACACAATCATCAGTTAATAGATTATAAGTAAGAAAATTGCCTAAAGAGGGTAAAATAACATAAAATTTTGACTTCATGTTTTTCCTCTGAGTCATCACATAAGATTATTTCAAAAATTAATTGAGTAACATGAATAAGTGGCTTATAGCTTTTGGATTTATGTGACTATTTCTTCTCGCTACCGTGTCATGCAGCTGAAGCTGTGGTAAGCAGAGGCCTCCAGATAAATTCCCATAGCAACAAGGCAGGAAGGGACTTTGGGTAAACTTCAGAAGATTCCTTTGCATGCTGTCATGGTAAGGTCTAAAATAACAGCACCATGAATATTTGAATAAGATGTTCAAGCATGAGATTTTTGCCTTGTAGGAGCCTCTCTGCCTTTGAACCACCTGAAACTAAATACAGCTATAGGGCTAAATAAGCTTTTACAGGGCAGATGGAACAAAACATTGTTTTGGGTAGCTGTTTTGTTATCTATCTTGTGCTACTTTTCTTCAGTGCTTCTTTGGGCTCAAAGTTGTCCTTTCTGATAAAATGCAAGTTGAGTTGGGAAACCTGATGTCCGAATTACAGAACAGATAAATGTATTTCTACGGTCATGGTGGGATCTTACCTGGGTGAGCCATTACTGAGGCTGCATGCTGTAGGATACTGTGTTTATCAAGCAGGTGCATTTTATAGAAAGCACTAAATGTTCTCAGATACCTGGTAAGGTTAATGTCAGAGCAGTTTAACAGTGCCTGCTTGGAAGTGTCTGGCCACACTGTATGCTTTTCCCTGGAGAAAATTCTCTACCGAGGTTACTACTGAAAAAAAAAACTGTTTATACTTTCTAGGTACAGTAATTTCACGGCTATAAGGCGCACCGGATTATAAGGCGCGCCTCTGGGAGCCAGCAAACTTCACAACCTTGTACATTATATAAGGCGCACTGGACTATAAGGCGCGTTTTTTTTGTGTAGCGAGGAGCTGTGCTGCGTGCAACAAAGTAACTAAATAGTAACGGAATCACACAATAGCAGGGTTTACTGGCAAGTGCTCAATTTGCAAACGTTTTTCACAGATTGGCATAGCCTTTAAACGTAGCCCCAGGCGCCCTCCCTGTGCCGCAGGCCTTGGCACTCCTGCCTGCCCCGGCGCCGGCTGGTGAGGTGCAGCTCAGGGCGGCCGTGGCTCACGGCTGTTTGGGGCTACCCGTGGTCCGGGGCAGCTCAGGGCTGCCCACGGTCCGGTTTGACTCGGGGTGGCCGCAGCTTGTGACTTCTGTGGCAGCCCGGTCCCTCCTTCCCAGCGCTGCTCACGCTGGGCCAGTGGCGGCTGCAGCTGCTCCCTCCCTCCTTCCCTGCGCTGGGCCGGCTGCGGCTGCTCCCTCCCTCCTTCCCTGCGCCGCTCATGCTGACCTGGCGGCAGCAGCTCCCTCCTTCCCCGTGCCACTTGCACCAGGCCAGCAGCGGTGGCTCCCTCCTTCCCCGCGTGGCGGCCAGGGCCAGCGCTGCCTCCCTCTGTCCCTGCGCGGCAGCCGGGACTGGCTCCCTCCCTCCCCGTGCACCTCCTGCCGGCCGCGGCGGCCTGCTCCCCTTGTGACCCGGCACTCCCGCAGCACCGCCCCCCCGTTGCGGCTCACCCTTCTGGGTTGGCAAAATTCGCAACTTTGTCCATTATATAAGGCGCACCGGACTATAAGGCGCACTTCTGGGTTTGGGCTGAAATTTTTAGTCTAAAGGGTGCGCCTTATAGTCGTGAAATTGCTGTACTTTTTAAATTGAAACCTTGAACTGTAGCAGCTGGGTTTTTTTTAGAAGTGAAATGTAATATATTTTATTGCCTGTTAGGGAAATACATGCTGTTGATTACATTGCTTCAGTCTGTCTTCCTCCTCTCTGAGGAAGGATATCCCTGAAGTTACAGCACAGAATATTCTTTACCTCTGTTTCCTCAAAAGTCCATGTAGGACATGGTTCACAGTGCAACAAAGTGGAAGAATTAAGAAGGGAAGCTGTAATTAATTTCTACAAGATATGAGAGTTCTGATTTCTAGAACATGATACCTTTTTTTTCGAGATCTATAATAACAATCTAACAGTCCTAGTAACAGGAATATTTAAGTTCAGAGGGACTTTGGAGATGCTAAAAGGGTATTTCCTTATGGAAGAAGGGCATTGTTCATTCTGAGAAGTTGGTTCACTGTATAGCCAAATCATTCCCAGTTCTAGGACTTTCACCTTTTAATAGCATAAACTCTGCTCACTGTACTGTCACCTGGTGGGTTTCAGATTATGACTTTAATTTGTGTTTTGAAAGCTGAACTTCATTTAAGCCATTCTGTAAGAAACATGATGGTCGCAGCAGAGCAATGGTGTGGGTTAATCATGCCTGACTGCCAAGTGCTTACTCTGCCTCCTCAACCAAATATGATTAGATGCGTTCGGTAAGTAAAACTGTTGTGTGCTCGCAACTTTAGGGGTGTCCATTGAGAAAAGGCAGGTAGCAGTGAATTAAAACTCCTGACCTTCCAGAAAAGCGGGACTAGGAAAGAGTTTTGCCCATCATGAGCTGGACAAAAGAGCACAGCCCCCTATAAATGAATTTTTACCTTGTGTGTTGTCAGCCCATGATAGTACCTAGGAACTCTCAGCTATAAAGGAACAGGCTTGAATATCTGGTTTCTTGAATGAAAAGCAATTTGTCTTGCTTTGCGGGTAGCAAGGTAACTACTTACCTTCCACTCCACAGACTGTAACTTTGTTCTGGTTGTGAACTCCCACTGGGAAATTTTCCTGAAACCTCATCACAGAAGCATTAGAATGAAGCAGTTCCGAGTCAGTGCAGTGTTGTGTGGAAACTGTGTGATTACCAAAGATTTTTTGCAAAGAATTTTAAAGGCCAAAATTAATTTCTAAAACTGGTAGTTTGTAAAACACAGGAGTTCATGTCCAGTTAATATGGATAAATCCAGTAATTCAAAAATCTGTTTGAGGTTGTGGTAGTTACAGCTATTCCAGTTTCACTGCCTTTCCTCTGTCATCTTAATACTAGTTTAATTTGTGCTGGGAGTTACCATGTGTGCTAAGTTTCATAGATGTTTTCCAATGGCAGCATTTAAGAACCAGCCATTTTAAGTATTGGTTTATTTCAAAGATTACAGCACTGAACCAGTTTTAGCTTAGTGGTTTGCATATATGAATTGTTGTCCTCTTTGAAATGGATTGTACCATGAGAAGGAAATGGCTGAAATAAAAATAGACCATCTCTTTGTTTTCACAAATGGTTTTAATTATCCTGTGCAGCTCTCTGCAGTGGCTGCTCTTGCCAGGCTTTTGAAATGAAGCAAAAGGCATATGATGTTCATGTACATTTTTCTTTTTTTTCCCCTTCTTTTAGCATTTCTTAAAATTTAGTAAAAACTAACATCCTCCTAGTTAGGAAGGAAATCCATTGGGAAGTTGTCTGAGTCGTCTGAATGGCAATGCCAGTTTTATCCCCTTTGTCCTGCCTGCCAGAGTTTTAGTCTAAGAACAGCTTGTGGTTGGGGTATTTCTGATGTACTGCTGAAAGTGTGAAAGACTGTCAAACTAGACTTGTCTTTTTTGGAATTTTTATATTGCAGTTCTGTTTCTTTACATGTCTTTTTTCCATTGTTTTATTCAGAATCAAAAGCTAAATGTGTGTAGAAAAAACGTAGTGTGAGCTATTTCAGAGGAGGTGCAGGTTTTACAAGCAGGCTTCTCTTTGCAGAGAAATGCTAATGACTGAATTCTCTATAATTTTGCTGAAAGTCTCCAGATTGGGATGCCTGATGACAATTTAATTTGGACTGCAAGGAGTGTTGGAAGCATTTTTCTCATCAGGCTGAAGTTGATAATGAGTTTTTCTAACCTGTGCCATTTGCCCAAGGAAAACTACCCAGTGACTCCAGATGTTCAGGGAAAAGTTAAAATGAGTATCACTAGCTGTCTGGCTACAACGTTTCCAGAGTTATTCTGCCTTTCGTTGGGCAATGTCCACGCGTTGGTAGGCAGGGTGAATGTTTTTCAACATTTCCAACTTAAAGACTTTAGATTCAGAAGAGTTTCCCATGCTCAGTTCTCTCTTGAAGTGGTAGATATTTAGGAGCAATGAGGAATCAGCACTGATTAATACTGTTGCATAAATAATTGTTTCTAGAAAAGATGTTTAAGGTTGATAGTATGAAATTTCCTTAGTCTTTGTTGCTATAATTTAAGATCTGTTTGTGACAATAATTTTTTATTGCCATTGTTGGATATCAGTATAGTATCGCACATTAGCATTCATGTTGCATTGAGGTTGCAGGAAGTTAGTAAAACAAAACTCAGTATGAGACTTTACAGGGTAAAGAGTCTCACTCTTTACTACAGAGAATGTGGTATTTATCTTTAGAATATCACATCACTTATACCCTCTTGCACATTTCATTAACTCATCCTCTCTTTCTTCCCTTGTGTACTCTTGGACGCCAGAACATTTCCACGTGTTGAGGTGAGATGCCCAGTGTGTCTTTTATGCTTTTCCTAAAAAGAATAAAAGGAGGATGCAACTAATGGTATCTGTCAATGTTTATTGTGCTTCTGGTTCCTTTTGGTGACAATTTCACATACAGATATTTTATATCCTCTGGGAGTCAAGTGGGTTTTTTTGCTAGTCCTTTGCTTCAGAATATGGCTTACTTCAGCTCCCATTGATCTTTGGGGGAGGTTAATGCTGCTTGGTTTTTTCCTTATTTGGAATAGCTATCTCTTTAAAGCTACAGTGTGTTTTCCTGTTGGGCTGACAGGAAATGGAATGATGTATGTGATGTGACATAAGCTTGTTGCCATTCTCCACTTTGAAGCACAGGCTTTTTTGCTGGTCAGGCATTTGTGCTGGAGTCTTATCAGAGTGAAGGCATCCTGGCCTTGACACAAACATTCCTCAGTTTTGTTTCTGCAAGAAGTGCCCTTTGTTATCAATCAAAGCCATTTTAACTCTTAGCTGATTTATGCATGTTTTTATCCCTACTTTGTTAATCTCAATTTAGCTTGCATTCTCTATAAGGTATGTTTTCCTGCTCACAGCAGTAAAAGATTCAATAGAAAAGTTCAGAATAGTGGGTATAGAGAACAGATTTAGATAATCTCACTTGTAGAATTAGTCCTGTTAATTTAGAGATGTGACTTCTGAGTCTTGATATGTCTCTCTCCTTGGAAAGGGTGCAGAAATGATCATCTGCAACCCTAATGATAAGGAGATGTAACAAGAAAGTGATTCCTGTGTTGAGCCAAGAGTACAGTAGATCATCTAGCTTGTATATGTGGTCAGATATGAAAAAAAAAATACAATTTTAAGACACGATAGTAGATGAAGCTTTGAAGTTTCTATTTCAGCATCAAGGATTTTTTGTTAGTAAGCCTACTATAGGACCAGGATAGAAGTTGGGCCCCTCTTTTCATTTGTTTTGTGGTTTGTATATCTTGCTTGTCTGTCCTTGCAGCCTCTGAAGGTCACGTCACTTGGTTTGCTTCCCAAACTGGTTAAATTGTATTCCCCACAAATATATATTTTAGCTGGTGTATTAAATTGGCTCTAGTCTTATCTTTCAGTTGGGATCTCTCTTGTTGCTCTCAGAGCAGCTACATGGATGTTTGCTTGTACCTGGATAACCTGAACATGGAGGCTACAGGGAGCTGGACCTATGCTGGCCCTGATGGCTGGGGAGACAGGACCACACAGCTCAGTAACTCAACCCACAGCCTGTTTTCAGACCCAGCATGTATTTCACATTTGTTCAAATATCAATTCAGGCATTTTAAATTCCAACAGTTGTATTCTGGCACAGTCTGCTCGGATTTTCCAGACTTCTTGGTAAATGCATGTGGTGCTGCTCACAAAGTAATGACCAAAGGGAACCAAGCTGCGTTGTGTGTTAAACCTCTTTGATCCATTCCTTATATAAATATTGCTTAATGCAAACCTCGTAACTGCCTCCCTTTCCAACATGTACTCAACACTCTTATAATGTGTGTCTATTCTTTTCTCCCTGGTTGATTACTTAGCAGTTTCTTCCTTTCTGTCATCTGACTTGTTTGAGGAAACCTGACCACGTCTTTAAAACTTATTTTAGGGGAGAAAAAGTGTAAACCACTAAAACCAGCTTTGTCAAACCACATTTTACTTTAAAGATGAAACTTGAACAGTTAAAGTAACTGCCAATTTGCTAAGCTAGTTAGTTGCCAAACTCCCTGTCTCTGCCCAGG